CATGGGATCAGTGCTGGGCTTTCCCAGCACCAGTGGCTCTGGACAACACAACAGGACATTGTGTAGATAGCCACCTGGCATTGCTCCAGAAAGCACAGGCTATGGGGGGAATTTGGGGTAGTTTGAAAGCCAGAAAACTCTGGGGCTTCCCAGAGTACTCTGGCCAGTGTAGACCTGCCCCAAGTAGCTGATACATGATCCCAACCAATATTTAAAATATTAATATAATATAACCTAAGTATAGCATATTATATGGTATCTATAATAAAACTACTTACACTTTGGGATGACAGTGTTGGCTCCTATAGATAACCCAGCAAGGATGAGAGACCAAGCCTGGCATTGCCTTCGCCCAACTCGATTCACCACGATAAACACAATGAGCTTGGCTGGAATCTCAATGATCCCAAAGACAAACTGGGTCATGTACATGCCCAGGCCAAAGCCAGTGATGTTCATGCTCATGCCGTAGTAGGAAAAGGCCACCCCAAACCTGTAGGGAAAGGAGATAAAAGGATGGGCAAAGGAATCCCATAATCAGGTCTGGGTTGAAAGAAATCCAAGGGCTGAGAAGAAGAAGAAGGGAAGGGAAGGGCCTTCATGACTGAAAAGAGGCCATACTCATAAAAGAGGCCATACTCATAAATACACTAAATATATAAATAATAAAAGGAAAGGAAGAGAAGAGAAGGGTGTCTTCTCACCACACAGCCCCCATGCAAAAAGAAATTCTTCTCAGCATCCTTGTTTGGAAAAGGCTGGTATAGGAATAGTTCCCATTTGTCTTCTGTGCTACTGTTGCGGCTGTCTTGCTTAAGATCTAAAGGAGGGATACTGGGTTTTAGGATCGGCACTTGTTGAAAAAATGTATGCGCAGTTATTTATATCAAATCAAATATTTAAAAGTGTGTGTGCTCACACACAAAGCACGTACAGATATATTTGTTGTTGTCTGCCTTCAGGTCATTTCTGTTTTACATTTGACTATGATCTGACTATCATAGGGTTTTCTTGGCCAGATTTTTTTTCAGAGTGGGTTTATCATTGCCTTCCTCTGAAGCTGAGAATGTGTGACTTGCCCAAGGTCACCCAGTGGGTTTCCATGGCCAAGCAAGAATTTGAACCCTGGTCTCTTAGAGTCCAGATCTAACACTCAGACCACTACACCACCCTGGCGCACTCTCTCTGTCTCTCTCTCACACAGAGAGAACAAGTATTATAAAAATAGAAGACTAGGATTAAGTGACCTTGTGTGCCTCTTACTGAGTGTGTTCTCCAGGCAATAATGTATCTGGTTTAAGAAAGAGGAAACAAAAAAGTTGAATCCTTTGTCAGACTCATAAAAAATAGCAGTTTTCAGATTCCTTAAGTAAGTATTGAAATCTGGTGGAAAAAAAGGAAATGTCTTCCCAATTTTCTGAAACAAGTTGAGAGACACAGGGAGAACTGTGCTTCCCAAGAGCAGTGGCTAGTCCAAGATAATCTGGCACCTGAGATAAAGGAGAAGATTGGAACCCATCCTCTCTATTTCATGTACAGGAGCTGATTGAATTGGCAACAGATTAGCACAGCGAGTGTAGAGCAAGATAAGTGAGACGTATAGCTTTGACCCTCAACATATTTCTTCCCAACATTTGCTGCCAGAAGCTGTGATCTTCCTATGCCTTATGGTAGTATGGGTGAAGGAAAAGAAGTGCTGGAGAATTGCAGCACATGGTCAAAGCATCAATTCTGCCTAGCTGATCCTACATATGTAGCATTCTGAAGCAGGCACAGTGCAGCCATCATCATTGCTCTGTCTTATTTGTTGTTGTTGTTGTTGTGTTCTTTCCAGTTGTTTCCAACTTATGGCGACCCTAAGGGGTTTTCTTAGCAAGATTTGTTCAGAGGAGGTTTGCCATTGCCTTCCCCTGAGCTGAAAGCATGCCACTAGCCCAAGGTCACCCAGTGGGTTGCACGGTCAAGCGGAAATGCAAACCCCTGTCTTCAGAGTCATAGTCCAACACTCAAACTACCACACCACACAGGTTCTCTGCTCTATGTTGTAGTCAATGGCATTTTCATGGTGGTGTATGTGTGAGAGGGATTCGATCAGTCTCTTTGTTGCAGTCCAAACCCTGATGCCTTGACTCACCTCAAAGTTTATCTTGGCAGGAAAATCTTTCCTTCCATTCATTTTGGCACACCTTTGCAGATGTCTGTGAGCTTGCTTTAACTTCCCTTTGGTCAATAACCACCTGGCAGACTCTGGAAGCCACCTATTAAACAGAAGGAGGTCAAGAAATTTTGTAGATAGTCAGTGAAATCTCTTTGAGATCAAACCAACCACTCAATGTTGATCTTAAGGTCATGAAGATGATTTATATAGAATACATTTAATCCACATGTACCGTGTGCTGTAGACTATATTTCAGAGGAAGGAACTAACAAAACCAGCTATTGAGCTTTTCTTTCTTAAGAAAACCCTATGAAATCCATGGGGTCACCATGAGTCAACAGCAACCTGAAGGCACATACACCTCCCATACCAGGATGAGATGGTTTAGTCCACCAGTCATGTTATGTGATGGAATATGTACAGAACTAGACCTCGAATAGTTGTAAACATGTGAATAGTTGCTGACAGTTCCTCCAAAGTTCAGCTGCTATTCATGTACAGGGTTGGGGGATTTTTGAGGGACAAAAATTGGCTAGAATAAAATGGTCCTATATGACGTTGGTGGAACATAACAGAGGCATAATTTTGGATAGAAAATTGGCCATTGTAGAAACCATGCAGAAATCTTAAACACCTCTTCCTGCTCACTGTCCTTAGTTCAAGCTTTCAGACTCCCAAAGGTGCTTTTCATTTCTGAGAAAGAGAGATGTAGAGAAAATCTTTACAAATTTACATGTAACCCATTATCTGGCCAGGCAAGTGATCCAAAAGGTCTTGCTTACCCTGAAGCCAACAGCAGAGGAAAATAAGTATGGAGAAATATTAAAATAGGGAGTTTCTAAGTTCTAGAAACAAGCCATTTCTTGAAGTCCCTTTTGCTGCAGCAAAGAGATGGTAGGTAATACCTCCTTCCCTGTATAGGTTTAAGTTCAACCTTGCATTTATTTAGTTCTTGGTGAACCATTACTGTGGTATGATTTAGACAAGAGGCCAGATTGTGCATGGGCAACATTTGACACAAGCTACTGAATCACTAATTTTAGTTTATACCCAACTTCTGGACACAGATTAACACCTTTCCCTTAATGTGTACTAATTTTCTTGGCCCTTGCTCCAGAACTGTGAGAGTTGTATAATGTTGTTTGGAGAGTAGGGATAATTTCTTGTTCCACCAAATCATGGTTGTTCCTACATCTACACAGATGTTTGTTTAAATGTGTATATTCTACATGCAAGGAGAGGGAGGGTGCTAGCTTTGTCCTCTTCCAAAATTATTTTCCACACATCAAAGTAAAGGCTGTGAAGGAGAGAGTCTGTTGTATCCATAGAGGCTCCCCATATGGGTCAGAAAATGGGGGAAATAATAAGCGAAATTCTGTAGAGTGTCTCTGGGGATAAAACAGACTTTTACTTGCTTCTGAGTGTTGTTGGGGTTGCCCAAATCCAAGATTGATTTCTATGGATTTACATGGCCATCTTTCAAAGTTTGAAAAGGAAAAATTACGGTAAATAACAATTGTTATATAACATATTATCATGACCAAAATAATGTCGTTTGTTATCATCCTTGTTACATTGCTTATTTGCTTTTCCATTATTTTCTGTTATTTAAAAAATACCTTAGGATTGATAAGATAATAGCATAAAACTTTGTTTTTAAAAACCCACTAAAAGCACTTTAAAAGTTACTTCGTAATGTAACTGCAATACATAATGCCATTACCCCCAATGCCATTATAACAACTTATTATTTCACTTTTGAAATGCATGTTTTTACACCCCTGTTGCCCCCTCCCAAAAAAGCTAATATCTTTAGGAATGGAAAGAATATTTGCTGTCATGTGTTTCCCAACTGGAAAAGTGGTTTTTCACTCAGTATTTGCACATGCCAAATTGTTTCAGGAAATTATTCTGTGTAGAAATACAAGGGGGTTTTTTTGTACATACAAAAACATTTTTGTGCAAAATTTTGTGGTTTGTAAAAAAAACCAAAAACCCTGTTCTGTGTTTTGTTATGCATCTTCACAATTCTGTAAAGGGTTTCTTTGTGCCTCTGCTATGTTGCTTAGCATACAGAAAGTTACATTATGTAACAGGTCATATAGGATTCTGGTGATAATTTACCAGAGCTCCAGTCTCCATTACCTCGAAAACACTTTGGTCAGGGTGCTGCCAGGCCAAAAAGGCAATTTTTTTCTGGAGTTGCATCATTAGACCTACATCCAGGGGTATCTGTGTTGGCCATATAGTAAATCAAAAATCCACCAAACAATGATATCTTTATTGGACCAACCAAAATGCACAATTACATGCTGAAAGCTTTTGAAGCTCCACTGGCTTCTTCATCAGGCAAGGTGTTAAAAACCATACGGGGCGGGGGGGGGGGGGGAATTGAAGATGTTAGTCATAGGCCTGCATTTTACTGTGGTGAGCTTCGAAAGCTTGCAACAAGTAATTGTGCATTTTGGTCAGCCCAATAAAGGTAACATTAGGGGGTTGCAGACTGCCAGAAATAGTGCAAATTGAGTCCACTTTTAGGGTTAGGGTTAGGGTAGGGAATCATGGGAACTGTATTTTATTGTGGCACCAGAGCTCTCCGACAGAGAAAGCTCAATGTCTCAGGAAAAAAAAACAATGCCCATGATTCCCTAGCACTAACCCTAACCCTAAAAGTGGACTCAATTTGCACTATTTCTGGCAGTCTGCAACCCCCCATTGTTAGGTGGATTTTTGATTTACTATATAGCCAACATGACTACCCCTAGATGTTTTTTGGATTTCAAGATACCGCATTATAGCCTCAACAAGGGAATCCTAAAGCAAACAGCCAGTACACTGGGACCTTACTACTTGCAGTTTCTGCCTCCAACAAAGATAAAACATTTTTTTCTTAAATTGGGATTGGACTGGCATGTTTTACCTCTACACCACCTAAAGTCTTCCTGATGCAAGCATGAAGACTTCCTGATAAATGACTACCTGTCCTCCACCTAACAAAAGGGGGGTGTAGCTACACAAAGGATAGAGAGATGTTGGATTGCAAAGAAATATCTTTTCTGTTTTGCAAATGAATGTTAAATTTCCTGGCTTTGAGAATCTCCCATCAGCCACATGGCCAGAAGGAGATGGTGCTAGCTTGCAAGTAATACCCCTCCATACCGTATGAACTGAGAAGAAACAACAGCAAAATGCAGGCCTATGAGTAACATCTTCAACTTTTTTCTCCTGTATGGTTTTTAACACCTTGCATGATGAAGAAGCCAGTGGAGCTTCAAAAGATTGAAACATGTAATTGTGCATTTTGGTTGATCCCATAAAGGTATCATTGTTTGGTGGATCATTGTTTGGTAATAGTGCCACTCTATTCTGCTTTGGTCAGGCCTCACCTGGAAT